TTCATGATTGATAGCAGGGATCAGAGTCTCATCTCTTGCAACAAGTTTAAGGACTTATGATGCATATTAAACGGTATACATTAGCGTGCGGTCGCTCGGCTCTTACTAATAATAAAGTTTTCGTTTCAGTAATAAAAGTTTAAATTTGTTTGTTTATAAAGAAATAGCCATAAAAATATATAATATAGGTTCTTTTAAATGTGTTGTTTGTTGTTTTATTTTAGGTTATAAAATGAATATAATTAGTGGCACGCACATAAAATTTTGTGATGACATGAGATATAATAAAGTCGGAGTTTTACGTATCAACAGTCTTAGTATTACAAACTGGAGTTGTAGAACTTTCTACACAAATTGTACTCGTAGATGCTCGGATCCTGGTAAAACTCTGTCGTACTATGATAATTAATTCACAATATATTATACAAGTTGTACTTAGTTTAATTTAAATTGTTATACTTATTTCATTTTATATTTATTTGTTTTATTTATGTAAAAGCGACTGGCCTTGACACATCATCCATATTTTTAATTATTGTAGTACAATAATTTTAATAATGTTACAATAGAAACTCTATAATGATATTTATCAAGAAGTTACAACACAAAAAGAAAATTATGTTTCTTTATTTGATGATGTTTTGTTTAGATATAATACATAGTTATCAATGTTGCTATGACACGTATGATTCATATAATACAAATGATTAAGAGTAAATTTAAGAACTAAAGGGACTAATTATTCCCCTAGTAATTAATAGAGTTTACTCTAGTATGTATCTCTGCATTTTAAAAAAAGTTCATTAAGTAAGAAGTAAACAATACTTTTAAAGCTTTACTACAAGAGTTACAACTTACGTAGTAATAATAGTCTAGGGTTTTTTTATTTATTAAATGAAAGATGAATCGCTGAAACAATTATCATTGCGATAGATCATCTGTAGAACTAGAGTAAACTTATTGTTACAATACCTATAAGTTTACTCAAAATATTTGTAATAAAAATATAACTGATCACTATTTATATATGAAAGATGTGCAAACTTCATCACCTAACAGAACTCAATTGTAATTTAAAAATTTTCTGCGCTTTGTTATGATTTTAGAAATGCCTTAACCTATTTGGGTGCGATTTTCACTGATGTATTGCGATAAGATTCAGTTATTATTTAGTTTTTGTTTTATTCCAAACAAAAAGTTATATTGTATCTATGTTGCGGGCTTGGCTTGTAATGAAAATGTTATATCTACATTTTTTCTTCACTGATAAGACTAGCATATTTCGGTAGGTAAATATATCTACGAAATTCCTTCAAGAATCATGTTAAACATGCCTCTAGTATAATTGGCAGTAGAAAGTTTGCATTCCATTGTTATGGAACTTAACTAAAGGAAGATTAACGTCTTCCTTTACACTTTATTGTACATAGAATCTTGTATTTTACATTCTGTTGATTTATATCCTTAATAGATATATTTTATTTTATGTAATGTATTATAACAACATGGTACTAATAATTAAACACGCAATTAAATTAAATTTATTGCAGCTTATGAGTTGCGTAAATAATTCTATCCTTTTTATGTATGATAAAATAAGGGACAGAGGCCCATTTTCTTATGCTCGTCGAATTTCAGTCATTTTAGTAGGTATGTAATTTTAGGTAATCTGAACCCCTGTAACAAATTTCAACGCTCCGTGATTTTCAGAAGCGGAAGACATTTTCCTGCATTAAATATGTATATTGGCTTTTAAATAAACTTAGATATTCACTACCATAAATAAACCAAGACATTATTTAAGGTACTGAGAAAGGCACAACAAGCGGTTTACTAATGCATAATACCACTGCTAAAATAACCTTACTAACATTCTATTTTGTTTTAATTATATCTAAGAGCGCGTGACACAGTCAATCTTTAGTACAGATATAAGTTTATAAAGAACATTGTTTACCTATGATTCCGATTATCATCGGTACCTAATAAAATAAATATCACAAGTACCTACTTCAAATGCATACGAGGATGGCAATTAGTGAACCTATCTTTTGTCATTGAAATCAAAATCTTGCTTACAAAATGAGACGTGTGCCTAATTGGAATGAATTGCATTCCAATGACCTATAAAATTTTGAAGGATGCATATAAGTAGATTTTATTTGAATCTACTTAATAAAATTACATTAAAAAATATTAATTTCTGAAATGTTTTTGTCAATTTTATTTGATTATTTTTTATCATAATGGAAGGAAGTGTAAATTATTTCAAGACTTACTTGGCTTATTTTAAGTAACCTCGCCATTTTAGTAGATATAAATTGAAGTGTCGTTAAAATTTTGTCAACCGATTATAATATTAAGTACTTACTTAGATCGGTTTACCTATCTCTCGGTTAATAGAAAATTTAAACCCTTAAGTAATAACTATAACAGTAACTTATTATCTCTGATCAACTCGATGGTTGAATGGTAGGGATTGCCATCAGGCTTTTATTTTGCGGACTGCTCAAATGCCGCAGCTGGCGTTTACAGCTTTACAGGACGATTAGGGGCGAGTGCAGATGGCACTCCCAACCCGCAGAAGGACTTACGGAACGGCTGAAGGCCAACTCCCGCCTCACGGATATGACTTTAGTTTGACCCGCTAGGGGTTCGAGCATCGGCTCAGGCCGTCGTAATTTCGATCCCCGTTTAAATTGGACGGGGGACCAATCGATGGGGTGCCATCAGGCATTAAGTCAATTACAATTTTAAGTTACAATTTTGTGTGCAAAAGAATAGTAAACAAAATGAAATAACTTTATGAAATATATATATAAATAATACTACTCATTGATGATTACCAATTTATTTATATATTATATAATATTATACTCATGTGAATAAAATAAAATGCCAAATTGTATAAGTATGGCAATTCAGTTGATATTAGCAAAACACAAAGTAATTATTGAGGATATGATAACTATAGCACTCTCAATATTAAACTTAACGAGATACATTATGGAGATTGCGTGTGCTAATTGCAATCTTTTTAATATAGAGTTCAAAATGTTTTATTTTATTATACTATTTAAGAAATTTAAATTTATTAGATAAGAAAGTGTTAAGGTTCAGAAAGATTAGCCTTTAATAAATAGCAAGTTCTAGGCAGAAACTAGTTAGAAGTTCTAACTTTAATTTATTGGTTTCGTGCTGTATTTTGTAATGACATAGTAAACTGAAAAAGACAGAAGTGTATCAGTACATATTTTCTAAAGAGATTTTTATTATTATTGTTGTTATTGTTAGGTCCTACCTATATTTGAAGTATACTTCGTTTTATGCATTAAATTAGGTTCAATAAGAATAGGAGAAAAAATCAGAACAGGAATATTAAATGTTTAATAAACCTTTTTGTTGTAGAAAATTAATACTGAGAACTTGGGCTTAACCCTCTGAAGTAGTAACCAGTATGGTAAGTTAGGTGCTTACTCAAACTTCATCTACTTCAATTTTTTTAAACATATAAATATTTTAATAAGTAGAAGAGAAATTTCAATACCTATCCTTATAATATTTTATACAAAGATGTTCGAAACTTACAATACCTCACATGTTTAATCATAATAAATCTTAGAAGTCAATATTGACCCACTTTTACATAGAGAGTTTATCTACTTAAGTCGGATGACAATGCAACATTATGTGTCAATGATTGAGCGGATCGGAAGGGCGGAGGGTAGGGTATAGGTTTCCGCTACTGTTAAATATAATGTAGCTAATACCAATTTGAAATCAATTTGCCTTTACATGTTCAGCTGATATGACAGGCAGTGAATGAAGTCATGGACTTAGGAAAAGCTTTTACCCATAAATTACACACCGAAGGTAGCAAAATCAAATAGAAATTAAAACTATTTTACTAGGTCGGTAGGTATCCAGTAATATAATAAAAAAATTGTTTACAAATATTATAAATATTCGGGCTATCCATGTAATAGTAAAATAAAAAAAAACAAATTAAAAACCGATTCGAAGGCAAATAAAAGGTCTAAAGTACTGTCTTAAATAATGACAATATTTGAATAGTGAATTAATATTTTATTAGGAATGAGGTGTTTATCTCAAATCTAAAGTTGTCATATATTTTTTTATAATATCTAATATAAAATTCGGATGACATTCTAACTATACTGGACCTATCTATGTACCTACTGTATAGATTTTGAATAAATTATGCAAAACGTTTTAGAAATAGATAGATTAACTCGATGGAGTGACTTTACATTCTATATATTATAGTGTTACATATTGATAGGTAGTGTGATATAGCCCTAAGCGAAATGTAATAAACCGCCGACGATTTGTCATAGTTCAGATTGTTTTGAAGATTGACCGTATCACAGTACTGAAACAAGTTTAATTAATCTAAAACGCAATTCACCACTATTCACCACACCCGGTTTTATGATTTGCGTATCTATCGTGGAACTAAGCTACAGCGTAAATACACTTAAATTAATTTGTTTTATTTTTCATTGCGCACGTACGCCACTTACTTTTAATATTTCTTTCTTTTTATAATATTGCTATGTTTGACATCATTGTAGTATAAAAAAACATCATTGCCTTGCCTTTACTTCATTATTTGAGTTCGGCGCAGTATACCATTATTTTTTAGTTAATATAATAGTCGTCATGTCTGTACATTACCTTTTATGCCTATAATTTTTCCTAATCCATCTTTTTTTTTTGTTCTTACTTTTAAGTAGTCTATTACTACTTAAAAGTAAGAACAAAAAAAAACTTCAATAAATTGTAGCAATTATCCATTTAAGAGCAACATTCAAATAAACATAATATAAAACTTAGAACATCACTATTTTTGCGTGAACCCTATTTGGGGTTATTAAGGATTTTAGTAAAATAATAAAAACTAATTAAGAAGATTCATAGTCTTTTATTCATTATCAATATAATAATCTATTAAAAATAAATTAAATATGCATCTTAAATCACAAAACATGAAAAACTTACATATACAATCTTAATAAATTGTTGTTCTGACGATATCGATATAACACTCAGATATTCTAAACCTCTCCCTTAAAGTTAATTTAATATCTAAGTTTGAGTATCTCAAATTTACATTATTTAACGTAATACCAAGTTTATGAAAGTTAGAGCAGTTTTCAAGAAGTTGATTTAACGAACAAAGAGGGAACTTTGCCATGCACAATAAACTCTGCTTCCTGACCGCATGGTGACGAATTTTAAATATAACTGCATACTGATATCTGACATCTGATATTCATTAATTATTAGGAAGGAAAGCTGTATTTAAACTTGAAACATTTGTCATTATTAATATCTATAGTAACAGCGGTATCAATATTTTTATATGAGTAGGATATCTAAATTAACGCACGGGACGAAAACTGTCTTGCGATCTCTTGGAGCCAATGGGGAAATGTGACAGATCAATCTCATCCATGGGGAAGTCGAGCCTGTACCTCTTTTTGTCGAAACTCGACCTGTAAATAGATTAAGATATGAGTTTACCTTAATATTAAGAATGAAATCAACATCAGTAGGTTTGAACAAAAACAAAGATTCGTAATGAAAAGCAAATGAAATTAACTTGGCATTTTATCCTGAGAAATTATTTCCTTAGTAGATATTGTAAAATTTGTTATTTCTTACAGAATAATATTTTTAGCAAAAGATTCTACTTTCAATAGTGTTGTGTGGGTACTTATATATAGTGGGGTTGTATATAGTGGGTAAAAAATCTAATGAGGATAATAAGAATCTTTGACATATCAGGTAATAAAATACTGAAATTTTGTTACTAATGTTAAGAAATAATTGTAGAAATTAATAATTAGAATTAATATTAAAATTAAAACTAATAATTAATAATTAGAATTAATATATAATTCAAACTTAATTTATAGAGTCACATTATAAAAGTTTGCAATATTTGTAATAAAAAAAATTAAATTGACTGTAAATTATGCATAAAGTAATAAAATTAGAGAAGCATCTTACGCTGGTGAGTCAATGTCAAGATAGTTAGGTCCGAAGTGATAGAACCGCTTGGTAGCGTAAGGGAACGGCATCGAAGTTTGGTCGATTTCATCGAAGTTCCTTTTCTTTACGAAGTTGTCAAGCCCAGATCTTGTGGAAGGGTGCCATGAAAAGATTTTAATACATAAATTATATATATTTAGTTTTTTCTCACATCTTTTTTTCATCTCATCACAGTATATACAGAAATTACTATAGACTACACTATTTCTATATTTACTTTATTCTTTATAATAAATCTAAATCATGTATAAAAGGTTTGCTCAATGTATCATGTTATTCTCTACCTGTACTGTAACTACTCTGTAGGTATAACAAGAAACCTTGTCGTAGCGTATGCATTACATAAATAGAAATTAGATACTTAGCAATAATATTAATTCCTAAACCTAAACACTATTTTATTAGGTATTTTTTACAGTTTACAGCTGGTAACTGGAAACAGTAAAAAATTTGTAAATGAATAAATAAAAAATGTACTTCTAAAGTAATATAAAATTACCAAGGTAGCTCTCACAGTTAAAGAGTTCTCCATTACTATTTAATTTAGATTACGATTAAAATGAAAAACTTATGTTAGCTACAATTCTCATAAATTGAAAATACCAAAAGTTCTTTAGAAATACCCAGTCCCCAAAGTCATCATCAAAAAGAGCAAGTTTACTTTGCAAGCAGCCAACAAAAGAAACATTCCAACTAATTCAATTAGCTTACCGATCTACGGGCAAGTTAATGTACTCATACATATTTAATATAGAAATATACCTATCTGTGTAAATACCAAAATATAACAATTAAAAGGTTTATTTTCCTTCACAATGTAAGTATAAACAGCTATGATTGAATTTTTTATTTCAGGAGGGAAATACTGACTAATTTTATGATTTCTCCGAAATCTTTTTCATACTTTCAGATGTTTGATATTTATGATTAATCAATTTTATATATACATTTAGAAAGAAGGGAAATATGATGAATTAATCTGGTAAATTTTTGAGAACAGCAACAACAAATTTTTACCTTACAAGAACTAAACTAAATGAAACACGCACTTCGTTTATTACTTCTGGAAGTAAGAAAGTTAGAAGGATTCATAAGGACAAAATAGCGTCAAAGTTTTTTATGACCGTAGTTGGAAACATGATTTATATAAAATAAATACGAAAAAGATAATATTTGAAATTACATGAGTTCTGAAAATTACCTCGACCATTTTCAACTTGTAGTAGGTACTATCACTTACCTGTCTATTTCATCGAAATTGCGCTTGGGAAGGCCATCGGAGTAATATCCGCCATATTGAACGGGTGTTAAAGGCCAAAACTCGCGCTTTCCGCCTCCTCCGTACGGGCTAGAGGCAAATTAGAGCTTCATAGGTCTTATTCACATCTATTTGTATAGAGTATTTTTTATTAATTGAATTGCTATTAGGACTGTATAGATTATATTATTAGTGTCCTATTATAAATTTTATATTAGACGAAATTTTTATGTGGCTGTTACTAACATATTTTTTTTTGTGTTAGAAAAGATAAGAAAAGGCAATTTCTTGAATGTTTACAAGAACAATTCAAATTTAATATTAGAAAGATGATCACAGCTCATTATCTCTCAGGCAGTTATACGCACATTCTATATCAGTAAGTAGAAATAAATCGGACTCCTCCTTGCTACAATTCAACATCACCCTCATCCTTAAATTTTTCATGCAGGTACCATACATCCTTGGAGTAAGCGAGATGGCTATTCTATTATCGGCCATAAAAATGTTGCTATTATATATACATACTTTCTGTAAATGGACTAGTCCAATATATTACATTCTGATAATAGAAGTACTAAAATTCACTGTTAAATTCTATTTCAAGAAGTTTCACTTCGTCTATTAAAAAATGTAACACTTACCGGTATCTTAAATATGAATTATCATATGATTTTTTATATACTTCAAATATAATAAAAATAAGATCCCAATTACAACGTACCTTGCGTAATCATAACGTCTGGATAAAAGGTAGGGCACGAAGTGCCGGGAGTCGCGCACCTCTCGTACTTCTCGCACCAAATTACCGCCGCTCAGGGGATCTAGGTTTCGAGGCTTGTGACCTATTTGTATAATTTAATCAGATGTACGTTAAGAAACTGGAAATATAATCTACATAAATCAAACGATATATCTTACCTCTGACCCGTGTAGGATCGCTTGGAAAGGATATGAAGAATAAATTTATATTGCAATGTATGGGTATTTATTGGAAATATTTATCAACACCAATAATAACGACAATTTAAACACAACTATTTGTATGTATCACATTTTATACGTTGTACGTGTTTGTGGAAATATTAACAAATGTAGGACATAATTGGAAAGTATTGTTATTTAAACGAGGTTTGCGCCTCCAATTGAGTCCAATTCACGAACGAAATTGCCACCGCCGAGAGAATCTAGGTTGCGTACAAAGTTTGCGCCACCCAAGGAATCTAGAGTCTTCTTCACAAGGTTAGGACCTCCCAATTGGTCGAGGTTTTTCTTCACTAAATTTGCACCGCCAATTGAATCTAGGTTCCTTACCAAATTCGCACCTCCAATAGAATCTAAGTTACGTACGAAGTTGCTACCGCCGAGGGAGTCAAGATATCTGGAATACTTTCTTTTATTTCCGAGAAGAGTAGAGCTACCAGCTCCATTACCATTTCTGTGGTATCCATAAGTGCTTTCCAGACTTCTTCCAGGTATTCCTGAACCACCAACCCCGTGAAGATTACGTAATTCGTATCCACCAAACCCAGGAAGATTTCGTCCTAGCATAGATGAACCTCCTAGACCTCCTCCTCCTGCGCTTTTTCCCTCTGATGAGTAGTACTCTTCAAATGCATCTAGATTTCGACCTAGCATACCAGTGCCTCCAAGGTCATTCAGATTTCTGCCGACTAGATTACCTCCGATTCCATTCAAGTTATGATTGTCTACAGAGCTTTCGTATAAGTAGAGAAATCGTAGAAAATCTTCAAGATCTTGTTTTTGATGGAGTCCTGTAATAAATCCAGTAAATCTATTAATGTATTTGCGAATATGACAGACAACATGCATAATACAAGAATGCATAATCAGAATTGAAAGTTACTCACCACAATGTAGAGTGAAAACAGTTGCGCAGTGCTCAACAAGCTTGTGACTTATCGATGTGCAAAAGTATGTTCTGGATAGTGCGAAGATCCATCACCATTAACAGATAAGTGATTATAAAATTTTTGAAAAGTGCATATAAGTAGGTAGTTACTGTGTAATTATGATAAGTGAATATCATCGTACGTGAACAGGTGTTATATATTCAAGTGCAAGGGACTAAGAGGAACATTTATTTAAAAATATTGTGGTATGGTGTACAAGGGAGACAAATATCGTGTCAGGGTTTGCCGTTAATCATAAATTGTGCAGAGATTGTTCTTAAGAATCGTACACATCAAAAATATATCTACTGTAGATATAAGTACAGATTAAATTGCTTTATATAAATTATAAAGACCCCTAGATGGCCAAATTATGAATAGAAATATTTAGTTTTATGTTACTAAAAAAATCTGTCCTGTTTGACTAGAACTTTTTAATTGTTACAAGATAAAGTTTAATGACGTTTTGTAGAGAAATAAAACGTCACGTTTTTCTGGTGTGGACGATTCCTTTAGTGCGAAACATTGTGGACATTATCAAACAATAATGTTGGTTTATGGGTTCAACTTGATAATATAAGATCTTACCAGCATCATAACGGTCGCCGGAGTTGTGTTCATTACCGCTTACTTCAGATTCCTGTCAAATAATTATCAATATAACCTTTACTTGTACAAGGAAAGTGGGAATTACTTTATTAAATTTAAAATTGGTTATTACGTTGCAAGTTTTTATTTTAGGGTAGAAAAATTATTGTTTGTACCATTATAGAGTACGGATGTATAACTCGGTCCTCAGGAATGAGAACGTATAAAAGGCATCACGGGTGTCATGATAAAAATACATTAGTATTTTGTCTATAGCGCTGTTTAGGTATATAGGGAGCGGTTATTACTTTACACCAGTTACAACTTTAACATTTCCCAATGAAGTTAAACTAGTGGTTCGGACTTTGCGATTTAAATAATGTAATTAAATTTAAAACATTAAGAGCATTGTGGTTTTCTTTATCATTGTTAGAAAATAAAAAAGAGATAAATGCTTCATCACATTGCCGTCGGGACGGCCGGCGCCTCAACGCTAGCGCGACGATTGTAGTTGTAATTTACAGAAATATATAAAAAACGACACATACAGCCACTATGGTCAGTTCAAAGTCGTCGTATCCTATACGAAAGTATTTTTATATTAAGTAACTCAATTTATGTAAGAGTATATAATAGTGTATAAGATAAATTAATATAGGAACCACTGTATAAAACTACAACAGGAAAAAACTGAGTAGAAAAGCGTCATGGCATGTCCTTCAAAGTTTATAAAATACTTAAATTGGAGTTTCAATAATATTTCACTACACTGCTGCCCTAGGGATATTAGACACAACGTAACTATATTTGTGTTCGACATCGATCAAATAAGTTGTGATTACTTCTAAAACTTATCTTTGCGTTTATTTTATACAACAATTGTGGCAAACATACATTTATACAACCAAAATACCTACATACGATTACCTACTACGATACGACAATTTTGACCCAAGTTTTACATTTTAGAATGTAATTGATGCTCGTTAAATTTCGATCTCAATTGAGAGCATTATTAAAATAATTAATAGTTGGTATGATATCAATAAAATGAAATGTCTAAAAATGATGTTTCGTTTATATTGTATTTGCTGTAGTCACAAGCATCTTAAGATCTGACAATCTACATATGTATATTAAAAACGCGTTTTCAATATAAATTGGGTTTAATTCTACTAATACGCCATGTCGATCTATATTTGTGTTCATTAGAACTATTCTGTATATTCGTGATAACAAAGTTTCTATATTACCTGATTTCTATAACAGTAGATACATTCTTACACGTATAAATTATATCCATTATTTAATTATCATATTATACGGTAAAATAAAAAATAAAACTGTATTAGTATACAGTTTTATTTTTCTATCCTATCAAACATTAAGGCCTAAGATTTTACTCTTAACTACAGTAAGAATAAATTTCAACAAGAAATTATACAAAATGTAATTATCTAAATATAAGTTTGTTTATAAAGTCACGATGATTATGTAGTATTTGATTGCAGGCTTACGGAATTAACATAGTCTAAGTGGAACAAAGCTTTCTGAATAGCTCTTAACGGACTGAAATGTTGTATATTTATTGTTCAGAGATTAACATTATTTTATTTAAAATTAGAAATGTTATATTAATAATTCCGTATAGAAGAACATTCATTATAATTTATATGCCTACATATGTAGCTAAGATTCTATCCAAGAAACCTGGTGTGAAGATAGTTGTATAGTTCTATTAATATACCTATACTTTTTCTCTACTGTCTAATCTCAGCCAATACTAAGGATAAATTCAATTACTGCTCTTTTAAAATATTCATAACTATTTCATTATTTTCGATGTATGTATAATCGATTAATATAAATAAACATTAATTCTATATATATCTATAATATATTACATATATCGAAATTAGATACATTTAACAACTTTAATATCCTGTGCATGATCAACTAACACTACACTCGTCTGTAAATATTTTAAGTACATATATAACATTACTTTATCTGTGGTATCAAGTGACCACGAAGTAAGTCAATGGATATATATTTCTACAATATAATATGAACATAAATCAAGTAACATGACAATATATAAATTCTAGGCGAACTCAAGCTATTTGACATTAGTAACTTTGTGGCAATATAAGAATGGAATACGTAAATGATTAAAATATTTCAATTAAGTACAAATATTTAATTTTGACTTGTTCCGAAAAATAAAACCAGCGAGCCGAAGATGAAAAGCAAATATAACTCGCAGCCTCAAAGGGATTAAGGGGTTAATTTATATTGTGACTTTACGGTAGGTCTAATAAAACTAAAGTAGGTATATCTGTAATATGTATAAGTTGTTATATTATGTTGAATTGGATATTGTTATATTTATTATAATGTACTAGCTGCCTGCCCCGGCTTTGTGCGGGTATAGGTACATATTATACATATAAACTTTTCTCTTGAGTCACCGTAACTATTGCTGAAAACTGCATTAAAATCCGTTGTATAGTTTAAAATCACAGTACAGTGACTACCTTTTTTATACTATACTATATACAGATATTTCCCAAAACAGTATATGTTTGTCAGATACAATAGCAATAAGTAGATATAATAAGTTTGTCAGATACAATACAATAGTATAAGTGGGAGATAGGTGGTTACCTATCTCCCACTTACCTATAATTTCATAGTTTTTAATGAATTAATTATAGTTATGTAATATACAGAATAAGTAAATTGTAAATACCATTCTATTTAACCCAATATACTACAAGAATAATAGATCTGTAACATTAAGATTAAAAAGAAATAATAATAATAAAAAAGCACACATTAAATCATCAAGATTGTTTTAGACGTATATTATTATATCTATAATTGTATACATAATATGGAAGTGCTTCTAAATAGTAAGTAATATATCACCTGGTGAGGATCAGCACTACAACATACAAGCAGCGCGGCAACGGCCACTGCCAGCGCTCCGCCGGCTCCACGCATCGTTGTTCCTTTTGACCTGTTTGTTATACAGATACATATATGATAATTGATTTAAAAATACTCACTGTTACTTTTAATTTCTTCTATTCGCATGTAGCGGTAGAGGTCTCCAAGATAAAACACTGATAAATATGTATTAGCCCACGAATCTCTCTTTCTTTGTGAATGGAATTATAGAGTTCGAGTTGTTTACAAGACCCTTTGGCTCCATCACCAGAATGAAACATGAAATTTAATATTATATATATCAATATTTTCCAATCGAAATTTCTATGTTACGGATATTATTCAGAGAATCTGGTATAATATAGGAAAAAATGCTGCATATTCTGTCGGAAGATTTAACATTGAATAGTCACGCAGAATAGATATAAAATTTGCAATATTCACATAGCTATGATTCTATTCCGTTTATGTTAAAACGGGTGGAAATAAGTGAATAGTAATCTTATTTTGATGTGAAATAAGTTGGTTGTAAATGCGATCATTTATTTGATTTATTACTTTATTCTTTGTTACCCGGAGAGAGAAAAATAGTAGAGTGTAGAATGCACTTTATATGCACTTATTTCAAAAACAGATGTGTATATTGAAAAAATATATAATACTTATTCAAATTTATTCCTATTGATAATAGGAGAATAATTGGAACAGAGGATCAAAATATTTAAAATACTAATTAAATTAACTTTGAGCTATGTTTATTGCTTTTAATAATCTCATTTCAATTGTTTAGTTTGTATAAAAAAGACATCAACGAGATGTTCACGAAAATGTACAGAATTTTCAAATATTTATAATCTACATATGTATGTCAATTTCTGTATCTATACATTCTAGTAGTACTTTAAAATATTCGTAAAGTCATATATCTCTTGTTACGACGTTACAAATAATTAGTATCAGTGGATCAAAATAAATAATGCATTAATGTTTCTGAACAGTTGCGTAGCAATGTAGCTCGTAAGCTATTGTAGACGGTAATTCTTACAATACGAAAAAGTAAACAGGAAATATGTATGTATTTGTTATATTTGATAATAATAAGTATTAATTGTGTCGTAAAAATTTGGGATTCTTCAAATAGAGTGCAATAACATTTTTATATGGCACGCATGAAAGGTGATTGTGAAAAACAATATTTCCTTCAAGTATTATTAGTTGGCAATAAATGTGTATTCAATATTAAAGCATTTATTATTTCTTTTCAGCTCCTATTCTTTTTTATAAGGATTCTTGACGTTCGTTGGGCGTGTATAATTCTAAAGAAGAAGGATTCGTCAATAATGGCGCAGGAATTTTATGTGAAGCCACCGCCATCTAATCATAGACCGCAGGGAATATCAGACCCTTCTCAGCTTAGATTGTTTGAACATTGTGTTATTTAATTGTAACAATAGGGTCCAATACTATCTCAATATCTTTTTCATTGTTTTGATACTCATGTCTCGACTAGAGTAAATGTAATAAATATAGTATAATTTTCTACATTTTTATTAAATATATGGTTTTATAGTTAATATGAATAGGTCAACTTGGAAGTAAAACAGGAATTCAAGCATTATTTTATTAACAAATAATAAAGTACAAGTCGTCGAATATAGAGCTTATTAATTAAAGAAACTTTTCAATAATTTCCTAATATTCTCATTGAAACGCGAATATAAGGTTCTAGATATGTATTCTCATGTCGAAATATATTTACTATGGTCATAATGGTAAGTTTTTAATAAATTCGGAGGCTTAGTGACCTCATTCGATTATAATTTCTTTGGCGCCCCGTCAGTACATTAAGAAATCCTTCCATTTTTTTAATAAAAAAAATGGAATAAAGTGATTCCGCCCCAAAAAATAATTAGAAAATATGTTTATTTACCGACATTATAAGTATAAGATGACGCGGCTACAACCTCGATAGTCTAGTAGTAAATTGGTGTTTCTTTACTTCCAATGATTGTGAGTTTTACTCCTGTATAATACAAACATTAATATTTATGGTTATATTTGTTTAAATAGGTTTGGGTTTCCTATTTAGATTATGTACGTATTTTTTAAATTATACTAGAGTATCCATAGTAGAATCCCCGCTTAGTTTGGAATCGCAATTATAATTACTCTGATTATATAACATAAGTATTGATGTCTAATACACGAGTATGGCTATAAAAAAATTGTGAGTAAAATTCGAAAAAGTGCGGTACATGTCACTAGTACAGTAAAGAAATGACGAACCCCTCTCACATACTCTTTAAATTCCAATTACAGTACACAATTTCAGTAGAAGTCAATTGATTCAATTTCACCATTATCGGCGTGCATCGACATACGTGTTTCGTCACTCAACAAGGCATTGTTAGCCAATGAATAGGATATTGTACCCACCCCTCACGTTTACGTTACTACGTTTGAAGAATAATATCGCAAATTTTTACAATTATTTTACTACTTAACGATTACCAATATTACTTAATATTATGTCTGGTGGCTGATTCCGACTAAAGAAAAGTCTACACGTGCACGTAACCTCGACATATGATTGCCAGCAATTTTCTTACTCTAAGTATAGAATGATAATTTATATTCAATAATAAACCGCATTTTGTTATCCATTCATAAATTATTTTTATCTTACTTAAAAAAGTTCTAAATATTGTTCAACAGTTTCAGGTGCATTTGAGATATAATTTCACAATTTCAAATAAGTTGATGAATTTGAAATATCATTGTTCATATGAATAATTTATATTCAGATGGAATTATTATATTTAAATATGATTATATGTATAAGTAGTACCATGACGGATTATTGATATAAATTCGTTGTTTAGTTGTAAGACATACACATATTTTACCGTCGCGTTCCTTGGGATAAATGGGGTATGCCAGAGTAGCAATTGACTTGTATATCTTTATTTATACACTTTGATTACTTCATTTATCAATACATATTTATTATAAAACTGTATTTATATTTGTTTTATTCTCTATATATCTACAAAGCTGTCTAAAGAGGAACCCTAGCTGATTAATTGACCGATTTATTGAGCCAAATGGGGCTAAAATACACAGCTCATTAAGAAAACATTATCTGAAATTGTCAGTTTAATAAGTGACAATGTGGTCACGATAACAAAGGTACAGAAAACAGTGGGTACGATATATTCTCGAAAACTATAAAAGTTTATTTTATACTTTGTTATTCTATTCGACGGAAAAATTGTGAGGTTATACCTATCGGAAAGTAGACATTATTCAGTTGAGATAAAGACCTTTCTATATTGAAAGCTTTAAAAATAATACTCAATATTACATAAACGAAATCAAAAATTATTTATTCATGTTATATAAAGCGGCTTTTTTGTATTAATATTTTCCCTACCGCAAATAAAATAATTTTATTTTCCTGCTACAAGTAAACGTAACGATTGTTCCTAAATAATCCAAATTTATATTAATTTATTATTTATGTATATATTAGGAATAGTAACTTTTATGAAAAATTCATATTATATCATAAACAAATTTCACTTTCACTCTTCCACCGAAGAATGGTAGGGTAATGTGTTTAGATGTATTATATGATCGAAAATTAGGCATGACGCATAGCCTAAATCGCTTGATGGTTTTAAGTATAAATAGGTTAGATTTATTCTATGAACCTACATGGAAATATTCTAAAGTAAATGCCAGACATGTATAAAAAAACTTGTTAGTGTTAGTGGATTTTTAAGTTTGCCAGGTTAAAACAATTCTCCTACTAATATGACGAAATTAATATTTCAGTACAAAGGTCATGCATATCCAGACTCAAGTCAATTAACCATGGAATAAATTCTGGATCCTATATAATGTGAGTATATTCTTGATGTAGTAGGGTTGCGATTATAACAAACGCGCTTTGTGCATTTCAATTAGAAATTATAAAATAAAAGGCTATATGTATGGTAATATGTGTTCACATTTGCGTTAGACATTTTACTATGCTTGTGCTAGTGTGTTTGCAAGCGAAATTCATTTGAGTTTATACTTTGAAATGCAGCTCTCGAGAACAGAATAAATTAAGGGAGAAATTTCATGTAATTCTAACGTCGTAATGTTAGAATTATATTTCATAATACAGAATTAGGTATATTAAAAGTACTTCAAAAGTTGTGTATGTTTACAGTTTAACATATATATAATATTTCATATTAATATTATAACTGCGGTAGTGTTTCACTGTTGTCAGTTACTTTTTTATGACTAAACGGCTGAACGGATATTAATAAAGTTTGGAATTAAGATTGTGGACTTTTTCATCTCAAAAAAAGCAAACGAATTCTGATGATAACTGCTAGTAAATTGATATTTTCATTACATAAAGCTATAATTAAAATACACTAAAATATTAACAAAGTTAATAATTGTTATCACATTATTATTTAGCAAGCGATATATCTATATTCATAAGACAAAAATTGAAACTTTTCAATTGACTAAGTTAAATTATTAATATTATTATTGTTATTATTATTGTGAAGTTAAATTTTTCATAAGTTAATGATTTTTTTACTTATATATGACATGAAAATTAAATGAGTATATTTTTATAATAAAAATATAGATGAATAATTATTTAACAAAATATACATACGTTACATAGTATACAAAAGTACTGCTGTGACGTTTTACAAATCGACAACACAGAATAGACGTAAAAAAACGCCACGAACCTGTTAGTGACGGGGTGAGAGGAGCTACCGGTATGTCGGTTGTGCTGCGATGTGCCGGAGATGTCCTGACGGCGGCTTATATACGCGTCGGTTGGGCGGGCGGCCGCCCCCTTGTTATCGCTCTGCAGTAGGTACTACTTGCAAACCACTTGCACTCGACTTTGATACTTCTGCCGATTTTGATATTTGTTTTTATAGTATAATAATAATAATATATACATGCACAGTAATAGGAGGCTAAGATTTCCTTGTTTGAGAAAAGATGCTTTCTTCGTAGAGGACTTTAATATATTGTCCAAATACTCGTACTTATGTTATGTACCTGATGCTTATTATTAGTAACTAATGTACTAGTTCTTTTTTGTTACTTCTGGTTTACATTATTATACGAGTATATGTGACCAAAACCATTTTCAGTATAAGCCTAACGTAACCCACATACACAACTTATTGGAAATTAATGTATTGCCTACTAATGTATGACGTATTTGGCATATTAAGGCTATATAATAATGTTTTTTTAAAATAATAGGATTAGTACTTTTACAATATTTGATGAAATCAAAGTTTACTACAATTTTCAATTCAAATAATAAATTTAATTTCCATTGGTCCTAATTATTTTCTACCTAACGTGTGTAACCGATATTTACATTTTTTGTTGATATTTATTTATTTAGTTGGTATTTAGTTAGTGATTTTTTAAACTACGAAATTATCGTCTAAGTTTATACTTAGACGATAATTTTGTAGTTTTAAAACCGCTAACGAATAGCACTTACTACTGGAACTTATGTTCCAGTAGTATGTGCTATTCGTTAGCGGTTGCATCGTATCCATGCTAGTTTAATATCTACATACATACATAGCACTTGGCAACGCCATACGATATTTTTTTATACAATTGGAATTGCAAATAAGTTGACCGCACACTTCATGGAAAATACTTATAGACACGAAGTATACCATCATAGTTCGTATCTTGCAATTATAATACATCTTATCCGTGTTCTTATATTTCTGAGGAATAAGGTATAAATATATTCAATCTTTTGTATTGTTTCAACAAATGCGAAATAATCTGAAAAATGGTAGAAGTAGGTGTGAAAGAGGTAGCTGTAGTTTGCTTATACATACATAATTAAGAATCGATCCGTCAAAACAAAATACAGCAGTGTTTTGGTTTTTAGGATGAGCTATTACAGTAACATTACTACTAGTAATATTAACTTTGCTTTTGGAAAACATATTTCCGTAAGTGGGAACATAGGAACATGTAGGTCGGGTCGTTAGCAATATGGGAGTGATGCATCTTTTACTTGTCAATTACTCGTCTTCATGAACTGCAGTAACCGAAAACCATATGCTCAATTGTCATTCTGGTCATAGTGGTGTCCTACACCGCTACACTACCGAGGTCATTAAATGCTTTAAAATCATCGTATCGATGACAATATTACTGACTACTGTCACTGTGAATGAAGCTTTATAAGTTATTTAAATATAAGACTAATGTTCATGACGTCATCGATACGCGTGAAAATTTATGCGGATGGTTTCTTTAGCTGTAAATTACGACGACTCTCTTAAAAATACTATACCTAGGTAATTATTTTATATATATATTTTGATATCGAAGAGATAATATGAAATCCCAGATAACCTTAATGAGATTATATGAATTTATTACGGCATTCATTGGATTGAACTAAATCAAATAAATGCGATTAATATCTACAGATATATAGGTAAATGAAATGAATACTTCATATACCAGTATATAAATACGTAATGTAGGTAAGTAACTATTCAATGTTAGTCACAAACCTTTTGATCGCAAAACGAAATTATAATAATTGGGAATAAGGGGATTGTCAGTAGTGTGAACTATTGACCCCATTGCTAGCAGTGTACCATGTCAGGTTGACCTCCACGTTTTTGAACCTAGAAGCGATTGTCATAAATTCCTCCTGAATTTACCACGATGGATCGACTGCTCTGTTCGCATGCCCACCAGTGTAAAACACATATATATATATATATATATATATATATATATATAGACAAATTTCGTAGAAGAAATCGCATATAATAGACACATGTGAAAAATACAGTTGAGTTTTATTTGGTAGTCGGTCGAAAGTAAGTAGGCATCAGACTACAGAGGGATTAAATTACGACACGTTATGTAAATTATGATATGAGAAACTCAAACTTGATCCTTAACTGAATCAATCCAAGACAACAATATTTTTTTACAACAGATGTAACTAGTTAGCTTTTAATGTTCTTATATTTTATATATATAGATTTTACGTACCTTGAATAGTGATAAAGAAATTTCGTTTTTTTGATAACTAAGCTGAACCCGCAACTTCATGACTCATAGTTGTAGTCTATAATTTATTTGTTTGTATGCTGATTGGAAGAAATAATAATAAATTACACTTAATTAGATACAAATTAAGTTTATTATAATAAATTTGTGAAAACTGAACCCAAATTGGTTAAGCTGTTTCTGAGATTATCATGTACAAAGTTACAATATACTACAACTATTTTAATAATCTTTGTCTTCGGTTCTGTTACTGATTTATTATTAGACTATTCGTTTATGGCATTTAATTTCATTTTTATGTAGGCTAGGGTATACAGAAGTATTTCATCTACTCCAATATATATTTATTATTTAAGTTAAAGCAAGGTAATTAAAGTTAAATCAATCTTCTATGTCTACTAAGTAGGCTCACTTCACGTTCCTTTCAGTGTAAATAATCAAACACCGTCTACTTATATCCGATTAAAGAATCCTTCATGAGTATGACAAAAGTTAGGGTTGTTATTTATTAGTTAATACTGTATTGCTGCGGTACAAAAATATAATTTTCAAAAACTGTGCCTATTACTAATTAGTGGACAATATAAACAATTTTACATTCAAAACTAATTTTAGTTTCTTTTAATGTTTGATATTAGTGTACTTCAGTAAAACTTGTTTCAGGAAAGTATCAGTTTTCTTGGGACGGTTTTGCAGATACGCCCATAATTGATTTCAGGTATTGAGGAAATAAATTTCATAAAATCATTGAAGAGTACACCACGTTACCTGTTTCAGCAATTTCGGAAATTCTATCAAACGGATCACCTATTATTAGATTGATGAATTTCATTTCAGTATAAATCCAATACGGGCGATAATTTTGAAATTGAATGGTTTAATGAAGTGTTGCTCTTATTCTCATTTCGTCATGATTTAAGTGGGCTCTGTATTGGAATTAAACCCCTTAGCTTCCTTTTTAAATATATAATATTCATTATAGTAATACTTTTAATTGCTCATATTAAATATAACTAAATTGCCGGATCACTTACAGAGTCAACTCTTGAGGATCGATACCGATTAGTCTTATCGGCCCTATTTAAAGTATAATAAGAATGTCAAAATGATCATTATAGATATGATATTGACATTTTCTACTAGCAAATACCTATTGCGCCAAGATAACTTTGACATCAACATTTAATGGATACACTTCAGTGGCAATCAACACGAGTGGCAAAATTCAATTATACATACTGGTTTCTGGGTTCGCTTACGTATGTAGTATCTAACTTTAGTACGATGATTTTATATTCATATTTGGCAGCCGTAAACTGATGTTAGTGCCTATAAATTTCCCTAATCTAAAATTTAGAGTGGATAGAATATTGGTATTTGGTTGGGTCACCTTTAATATTAAATACTGTACCAAAGAAACGTACTTTGTACAGTCTAGTACTAAATAATAGTTGATTTGATAACTGCCTGCTGTTTTTTATTAGTTTTATATGACTATGTCGGTAAGAAGACAACAAACAGCCAGCAGCTGGTGAATTGACAGTCGTTGCCTACAGCTATGTTAGTAGTTATATCATTATAAAATAAATAGATACAAACATAGACTATATTTGTATCTATTTATTTTACATACAGGACCCACCAAATTTTTCACCGCAATAATCGCTCAACAAGAGTCCCTAATCTGTCACGTAGAAAATTAAGTATACCATTTTGTGTTGGTATAATTTTCATCTTGCGACGGTCACCCGCGGTTATTTTGTCAACATTTGCAAGTCTTTGAGTGCTCATGTATGCAGAGCACGATCATCTCATCTTTATTAACTAAGCTGAGTATTTTTCTTTAACATTTACATCACGGTGCGTCCGCCCTCTTAATTATCGTTTTCTTGTCTGATGAACTAGATCACTAATGATTTAGTACAAAATATAATTTGCGATTGTCGTTCCTCACTCTACGTTTTTGGCAATTAAAGCTTTATGAGCCGTGGCGTCACTCTCGAATTCAAAAAGGAGTTAAATTGAGACTATATTTATGTTTTAGATGCAGTAGGTTTTATTATTTTGAATGGATTTTAATCATTCTATTTTTATGAAAAAAAATCTTCTGAGTTCTACTTTTCTTTGTGCATATGCCAAGTTTAATGTTATTTTTTAAAGAAGAAAATAATAAATTCTCATTCATTATTCTCAGTTATATTCCAATACTAAGTCCCGCCATAATATCATATGCAAGAATATTGTATTAAAAAGTAAGTACAGATGATATTAAAGGAAGCATATCGCAGTTTTAATAATATCAAGACAAGTAGTTCACCGACACGTTTATTTATCATTTAAATTGCAGCAAAGAAAAATTATAGGTTATAAACATATGGAGTTCGCCGTCGCCTATCACAAAACGGTAGGTTTTAGTAAATCAACTCCCGACTACTATACTTCACAAATACTTATTATATAGGTATATACGAACCTCTTAAATAAAATTTGACGAATCTGAAAAAAATATTTTCTCGTACTTCTATCTAATAATTATCTATAGCTACACAAAAAAAACTGTTTGTACTTAACTGCAATCATAATAATAAATAAAATTACTTGTAAATTTACACACACATCTTGGTTAGCCACTGTCACCATAAATGTGAAATGAAATGAGTTCTATTCTGTCATCGAAATGTAGGACAATTAATTTAAGGTAAAT